TGTAAAGGTCCCATATACGCCGGGGTGGGATATTGGGATTGACAAAACTGTTCGTTGTGCGGTCGAGCGCAGCGGCGCGGCGCTCTGCATAGTCTTGTGTGCGTGCGGCCAAGTTACGCAAACCGGCGACGGGATCCTGATGCCAGCCGGGACGCAGGTATGCATAAATAAGTCCGAAGTCATATTCCATGTCGATATACGACTGTAGCGCTGCAACAAGTTCGGGATGTTGCACAAAAGTGTAACATGTCCCGCGGATCTCGTTTAATTTTCCCAGCAGACTTGCGGGGGAAGAAAACCGAAGTGAGGCCTCCGTCGAAGAGATTATCCCTGAGCAAGTGTGTCGAATCTGAAGGGAAATGTCGACAACATCAGGGAAATGGCTGTCTGGCGTGGAGGTAATGGTAGCAATCCTGGCAACGGACGCCAACCCAGGGAATTTAGATAATTTTTCACGAGCTCTGCGGCGAGCCTCCCTTCTTTCCTCTGAACCTTATCAGACGTGCAAAAAATAGATTGCGGTAGCAGCACGTACCTGCGGTATTTTTATGCGGCACGCTTGCCTCCTCTTCGTGGTCTGGAATCATCGCTCGCCGATTATCCTCTTCAGCAGCGAGTTGCTGAACGGTCTCCAACCCCTTCCTCACTCCCTCCTCCTTCATCGCCTCCTTGCAGTGTTTCGCCCGTGCAGCCTCCATCGGTGCTTCGGGAGCCCTTCTCACATTTTCCTCGGCCTCCTCCCTCAGCTTGTCGGCCGCCTGAGCAGCCTGAGCTCGCGATTCCATGCCGCCCCCCTCCTCCAAGTTACGGCTGTGCGCTTCTTCCATGGCGTTGTGTGTCGGATTGTCTCCGGATGGGGTGGACCGGCTGGCGGAAATCAAGTACCCCACGGCTCTGGCTATGGCAGAGATGAGTGCGCCCATCGGTGAGGGGAGGATATGGGGTACCGTGTGTGGTGTATGTCTGAAAGTGAGGTCTCCGATTAATCTGCGTAGGCGCTGACGTGGATCCGGCATGCTTGTACTAAAGTTAGGTTTAGAGCTATAAGTGGCTGAGGTGTAAAATTAAAATCCGGAAGTGCTTCTCTGTAGAACACGTTGAACAGTCACTGCAACGCGGGTTCTGCGTTGCAGAAAAGTCCAGGACAAACCGTCCATCGGAAGGCGAAGAGTCTGAGGTTGGGGCAGATGTCCTCGTCTAACGGGTTCGGGGAAGGATTTGAAGAGTCGACGTCGAAGAAAGGTGAGTTTGGGTAGGCTGTGGGGGCAGGGATGAAGCTGTCAACGGGTTTGCAGCGCGTCAAGGACCGTCCGACGCGCTAATTGTTGAAAGCCGGCGGAGTTGGCGTGGAATTACCATCGTATCACCATGAACGGTGTCGATGCTGCAAATCCACGGGATCATATTTGGGGGATGGAAGCTAGATGAGAGCTTGGAATGCACAGATAGCCCTGGTTGCGTTAGAACAGCCGCTGAGGTTCTGACCATCTGCAGGAATCGATACGGGGCCCCGCGCCAGACCAGATAAGAATGCAGATTCTTGCAGGTGAAAGAGCCAAGCGGGTAGTCCCAGTGATCCACAAACCAGCGAGCGCCGAGGAGAGCAGAGGCGGGCAGCGGGCTGATCCTGAGCGTCGAGACCAAGATAAAAGGCGCTGCTGGTTGCCATCCAATGATCCCAGGCGTTTTCTGAATAGCGCTGGAATGTATTAAACCTGTGCCAGGCACGGCCGAGAAGATCACCAACCGCACCACTAGAGGGGTGCTGAAAAACAGAGCCGAAGGCTGCATCGCCCAGTCTCGAGTCGAACGGGAGCCTGGCTGCAGGTGCGGGTACCAATTGGATGAATTGCTCAGTCGGACTGGGTTGTTGCATTTGAGTACTTGAGATTGAATCCACATGAATACGGCATATCTGCGAGTCTGAAGTTCCAACCAATGTGAAAACCTGCTGCAGCCCGGAGAGATTATTGTAAGTAAGTAGCATTGATTGCAGAATTCAGATCGTGTGATTAGGAATGTTCTCCTGCACCTGGAAGTGAAGGCTGGTATACCAATCGAGGGTCGGGTCCGTCAGCGCCGCGCTGCGAACCATCCTCTTCTGGACCGCAATCGGCTTGAACCTACTCCCATAAATCATCAGAACTCACTCTGCGTGACCAAACCAACTACTCACCTAACCTCCTTCTCCACCGCCCCGGGAATCGCATGCGGACCCTCGTTATGCGCAACGACAAGGACGGTAGCAAAATCCTCCTGCCCGTGTGTGTTGCGTTTGAGCATCTCCCGTTGCTGCATATGCATCCCCAGAAGGTTACCAGCTCCATTCGTCGCAGTGACCTCGGCCGCAAGTCCCATCATAGTGTACATCTGGAGCATCGGCGTCACAACGGCGGACACGAGGTCGAAGCGCGCTCCAGCCTCGGTGTGTGGACGTGGGCGGAGGTTGATGACGAGTCCAAAGTTGTCGATATTCGAGGGGTGTGCGTTGAGCTCAAGGGCGACGATGGTGGCGCAGACGAGGGAGCCATTGAAGCGTGCGGTCCATAGGCGGAGGTGGTGCTGGAGAGGAGGCTCGGCTTGAGAGTCGCGCATGAACGATGCGGCGAGCAGACAGGTGGACTTGTGCTGCGGCCAATCTTGTCTTTGACATTCCTTGCTCTGTGGGATGTTAAGTAGCTTCGCGGTGAGTGAGAGATTCGAGGGGGAGCGTACGCAATACACGACCGTCCTGGTAGAGTTAGACCTCGTTCCATTCCACTACGGACGGTTGAAGAGACTCACTTGCATCGACCACATTTACTCAAGTTCCTGTCGCTATGGCAGTCCCGTCTGTCGCACCGCAATGGACAAAGCCTCGGGATCTAAGTTGAGATCCCCGGCCGAGACGTCTTCCGCGGCAATGACTGAACGATTCAGGGTGAGTATCCGCTCATGGAAGGCGTGGAGGACTGACTTGTCGGCCTCAGAACGAGCTGAGGCATGATGACGGTGAAGAAAGACAAGCGGCGCTAGGCTGCGATCAAATCAAATCAGTTCCGGTGATGACCGATCACGGGTGATCACTCCGCTTTCAACCAAAACACGGAAATATCGCTCAGGCCGCCGCTGAGCAACGGAGTCTCCTGGGTTTTTTCGCCCAAGCATGGTACAAACCACACTGCCTAATTTATCTACATCAATGTTCACAGGGGCTGTGAATGTCTTTTGCCTGCTCATATAATATATGACCTCGGCTGTAACACATTGATTGTCATCAATGATTGACGAACAAGACCAAATTTGGAAATTTTCATCAGATGTGTATTTTTCACTAGTATTCTCCGGGCTTGATGCACTGTACAAAGATGTCATCGCTGCCAAGGAGGAGTTGTTTATCCCTGGGCTAGCCCCCACTCTCGAGCCGGCGGGAAACGGAAATTGCAGCAGTTGTGTCCGACGGGATGTTTATGGCGCACAGGATGTCGGTTCCTTTGGGGGTGTTAAACTCTGCGATGAATGCCGGGCCAAATGGGTTGCGTTCATTTTGGATTTCCCGAACCGTGCGGCAAAGGTTGGGCAAAGGTGTTCCCCGAACTGAAAGAGATATATGCTAGGGCCATTCCTGCTGCAGCAAGTAGTAAGTACCGGAGTGAACCTGGAGGTAGATTAGTTGAACTTGGCCACAACACAAGTCCTGTAGTCTGTAGAGCACACATTGAAGTAAACACACTTTCCTGCAGAGTTACCTTGCTTGCCAAGGTTTACTCTCCCAGGTCATAATTACATAATTTGCTTTCTTTTATATTGTGATCCAATCATCTCTGGTAGAAGTCTGCTTCTCTCCCGCATATATCGTTCTTGTCAAAGTTTTTTTTTTTTCTTTTTTCGCCCAGAGTAGAAGTACTGGGAAGCTCCGACTCCGTCGGAGTGGACCTTGCTTGCTTGATTGGATCACCTTGAATCAGTTGATCGGAAGTCTTGTCGGGTTACATCCGGATTAGGTAATTAAGGATCTCCAGAGACCTTGACAAGCAAGGTAACGAATGTAAAAAGTTGTTATGGGCCCGGCTGCGTTTTCAAGGTATATTACTGAATGCTTTTTTTCCGATCAAGTCGGACATCAGACATTGCTTACTTGTGACTTGCTACACGTGTACCGCCGACAACTTGAAATCCATCGCTATCCGCCACCGTTGCCGCCAACCATGTCGCGCTTTCGGCTCACCAATGTCTCCTCCAGTGCCCACCTGCGATTGGAAGCAAACAGCTGATGCCAGAGAACGAACACTGGATCGTACAAGCGCGTGCTGCTGCTGCAAGAACATGATTTCTGGCACTCTGTATCCCTTCCCTTCGAAGGCTCGCGCTCCAACCTCCGTCCTCCCTCCACGGTGCAAGGATTACGAACCGCTCTACAGACCGATGCCGTTTTCGAAGCCGCTGATTCCTAGTGCATGGGTAAGCAGAGAGGTGAAGCCTGTGCCAAAGAAACTGACGGTGCCTTCGACTTAAACATACGAAGCGTTCTTGCAGCGTTGCGCATGGATCGTCTCGCTTTGTTGTTCTTGAACATCAGGCACAGTAGCGCGTCAGTTACAGTATGTATATTCCAAGCAGTGACAACAGACGATTTACCAAGGCGGGGCGACGGAAGGCGGATGGAGAGGAGAGACATGTGTGAGAGGCAAGATGTGCCAATAGCCCGATGCACTCCCACTAGGGTAATGAACAGGTTGTTGACGCTGGATCGGCACATTTGAGGCGGCCAGACTCCAGCCTTCCATGTCGAGTGGCACATTCAAGACGGCCAGACAAACATGGGTGGAAGGAGGAGCTTTATCTCTATCTTGTATCGTCTCTCTGTTAATATATTATGGCTGGTTCCGGTTCTCCTCCCCTTCCCGCAAGCAAGGTTTTAACTGGCAAAGCCAGCGCTTCCGAGTGTCGAAGTCTGGGGAGGAAATTGGGTATAGTTTGCGTTGGCCGTGTTGGCCCCCACCTGGTGCGAACTTTCCAACTGTTCCGTGGCCCAGTTGGTTAAGGCGCACGACTGTTACCTTCGCTCACTCGAGCTGGTCGGCATCGTGCGATCGCGGGTTCGACTCCCTCCGGAACAGTGATTTACTTTTTTGTTCCGGCTGTTCCGGCTGTTCCGGTTGTTCCGGTTGTTCCGGTTGTTCCGGTTGATCAGGGCTCCTGCCGCCGGTCTCCTTGATTTGACTTGGCCAAAAGCACTTACATGTACAGAAGACGCTGACATGGTCAATAGTTGCGTTGAACCGGAACTCCCCAGACTAAACGCCGACTCGGAGAAATCGGTGGGCACTAGATCTGGATCATAGGAGCGTGGTCGCGCTTCGGATGGCTGCATAAAACGACCCCATTTTCTGACAGCTGGATGCAACGATTGGCAGGCTCTTGTAAAGTGCAATGCCATGGGAACAATTCAGGCCACGAACAATTGGAAAATAATAAATAATTCAGGGCTTCCATTCCGATCACGGGAGGCGATGCTTCTGAGAACGGATCTCCGATCCAGCAATGAAGGGTCCCCTTGAACCAGTAGAAGGCTCGTTGTGGGTGAGACAGCATCCCCTCCACTTGCTCGCCACTGCTCTCCAGTCTGAAGCCGCACCCCAATTCCCCGCCATCAGGGATCGAATCAGGAGCCGCAGCTCGATCGCTCCTAAATTGCGATCATAGCATCGCTTCCGCACCGGAAATCATATAAACGCAGTGTCTTGGCACTCCTCTCCCACCATGGCCTTCTCCTCCTCCTCGCACACGACCTCGGCCAAGGGCTCCTCGCTCACGCCCAACTCCTCACTCGACACCAACGCTTCCTGCTCCTCCTGGGCCTCATCCGCATCTTCCGGCTCGCCTGTCTCCCTTACGCTGCCTCAGAGAAGGAGCAGACACCGGAGTGTCAAATCGTACATGGACACCGTCGTGGTGCGCTCATGCATTCTTTGTCTCGGCTTCCGTTGACCTCACCTCTGCTCCAGACGAGCATGTCCGGTATGTCGAACAAATTGTTCTCATCCAGCGACTTGTCCGACGGTGCGTGCGACATTGACATTCTGAGACCCCCCTATTGTGAACTCACACACACTCAGACGAGGACGAGGACGAGGACGAGGAGGACATGTCAGCTCTCACTCTACGCCGTGTCTCGCCACACGATGACAAGGCTTCTCCTGCATCTGGTGTACGCCGATTCTTCCATCGTCGCTCTACATCCGAGCCCATTTCGCGCTCTTTCGTTCCTGCAGTGAGCCTCCCAGAAGACTCGGACCCGCGCCCGCGCCCGCACCACGCCGATACATTGGACAGCCCACCACCCTTTGAAAGTCGTGTGGTGAGGTTCGAGCTGCCGCAGACACCGCCGGGCAAGCGAGCTGAGACGCAAGACTCGGAGGAGGTGGAGGAGCCATTCTGGGGGGACTTCATGGTGCGTGTTGTTTCGTCGTGCTGCGACCACGGGCTCATTCGCTGCTTCACTAGTAATCCGGCAACCTTGCCAGCCGATAGGGTTTTATGTAGCAACTTGTGACAATGGACACTTTCTCTTGAATATAACTACAAGCATCCCATCCATTGCTGGCCGCGCAGCTTCTCACAGCTCAAGTGACTTGTGCTTTCGACTCGAGAAATTGCCACGTCAAATGAAACGAAAACAAAACTGAAAAATCTATTCAACCACCTACATGATACTCTCCTAACAACAACTCCCAAACTCCGCTCACTGCATGAACAACTTTCCAACTGCGCTGACCGTTCCGTCATTATTGTACAAGGTACTCCCGGTCCCGACAAAAGACACCGCGGCGGGATCGTTAGCACTGAGGAGGGCGGGTGATGTGGCGACAAAGGGGAAGTACATCTCCACGAAGGACGCGCTGTCGAGGAAGGGAATGGCTTGTTTGTAGAATGCGATCCTGGTCAAAGCATATCAGCGGGATTCCTAAAGGCAGCGGTAACTTTAGGCACTCACTGATCAGCCTGGCCACCCGGGGGGTTCTGCAACGCGAACTCGGTAATGACAATCTGGAACTGCGGGAACCGCGCGTGGGCAGCGTTGACGTAGTTCTGGAACTGGGCAAAGCTCGAGCCGTAGTGGTGCTATCATGAATGAATTGACCCATATTCAAGGTTGAAATGAAAGTCATACCAAGTTGATGTAGTCAAAGAAACACTGGCCAGCGCACGCGGTGATCATCTGGGCAACCCAGTCGAGGCCCTGGCCCGCGGTGGCGGAGGAAGTCACCGCCGGGAGTGCCTTCTTGATCGCCTAGACGGGATTTAGTCACCTCAGCGGGTCCAGCATTGAGTAACACACCAGAGGGTTGATGTTCTAGAAAAGCACAATTGTCATTCATAGTTCGAACCCGGAAAGTCTCTGCTTTACCTGAATATACCACTGAGCAGCTTGCTGGGGAGTAATCCCGTTGATATCAGGCTCGTTCAGTGTGAACACCGTAACGAAGCCGAGCTGCTGCTGGCGAGCCTTGAGTTGCGCGATGGGCGAGGAGGTGCAATCGAGGCAGCGCTGCATGCCAATGAAAGCCAAACCTCCGGCGCCCTTGGTCGAAGGCGGCGAAAAAGTCTCGTAGTCGTAGCTGTTGCCAGATGTAAGCCAAATCAACTGCAGTGTAACTGGGAGGCGTACATCAAGTTCACGGTGCCCGGGTTCGTGTTCATCGCGCCTGGATTGAGCGGAGCGTTGTAGAAAGGCCAGGCGAGACCTCGTTTTCCGGGACCAGAACGCGCAGTGTTATTGAGAGGTGTGGCCGACACAGAGGCGACCGCCAGGGCGGAGAACAGAAGGGTAGCAGAAGTCTTCATTTGTCGGTTGCTCGTCGAAGGGTGCTGGAAATTTGAGGTTCATACACTGGATTTTATATCGCAATTGAGATAATATCTGATTCAACAAAAAGTTGAACCATGAGGCGATGAACGCGGCTTGTCTGGGCCCCGGCTGTCATCGGGCCTGTGTACCCGTCTCTTTCCCATCGTCGGCAACTTATTCGTAGAGCGCGGCATCAACGGAAGTCCCAACATCTCCGGCCCGAATACCGTCGAAGGGACTTCGGGGTACTTTGGGTTCACACATGCTTATCGCAGAGGACTCGTGGACCTTTCCAAACCCTTCAACTGAGAGTTTGGTCTTGACCGCACGGTGTGAAAATCCCAATTTCAACCCGATCCGAATCTCAAGACACTGGCAACCAATTCCCGCCCGTATTCTTAGTTCAACGGACGATCATGGTTCTTTGATCGGAGGCTAAAACTCGGGAGCGAGCTTCTTTGACTTTGACCTCGGGAACCCTTTCCGCCTTGAAAAACTGCGCGCCGTCAGACACGGACCGTGAGCAGAGAACTTGTTTCTGATGCGCACATGTCTCTCCTTGGCATCGCCCTGCGTAACAAGATGAGCACCACATGGATGCTGGCCAGTGCTGGCCTCGCCGGCGCCGGAAAACAGTTTCATGACCACATCCCGCGGCCATCAGAAATTATTCTGTTCCCGCGCGACTAGATGCCGTATAATCCCCGATCAAATGCTCAAGTTCAACCTCTGCGCACATGAAAAACCACGTCGAATGGGGCGTGCATCTACTTCAAACACGGCCCGCATAAATCACCTCGCCTTGCGTCCCGATCCATCCTCTCTCGTCACCCAAATTCCTTGAAGTTCCCGCTCAGCCTGGACTCCTGGAAAATCAGTGGATGAGTCAATCCAGGAACGGCGGGAGAACCGGATGTCAATTGGCTGCAAGCTCCGCCATCCGACCTTGTGCCGACCTCCCGCTTCAGCGGGCTTCCGAAGAACATGGATGATCATTGATGGGAAGCAATACAATAGTTAAATCATTTCACCACACTTGATATGGTTGGCAGGGCGGAACTATTCACCTAGGACTTGGCATAAGAGGATTAGTAAATAAGGACAAGGCAGCATGCGAGGCCCAGCGGCGTTGAACGTTCAACACTGATGAGCGTGGGAAATCAGTATGACTTCTTGTGACTGGAGTGACACATGCTCTTTTGCCTACACCACCATGGACGGCCGATTCACACCAGCATCCAGCGTCCCCTTAGAATGCTCACCGAACCACAAAACTTTATTTTGGTCCTTCTTCATCAGACCAAGACCATCAAGCCGATGCTCATTCTTCATCGTGCGGCGTTAAAGTGGTGAGAAAACAGTATGCACGTGGGAACGCAGCTGATTCCGTTCCCAAACAGTGACTCGACTTGAATCGCGACCTCCGCGTGAGTCGTTGGCAGCCAGTGCAGAAAAAAAACACAGAATCCAAACTGAGTCACCTTCAAACTCATTTTCCCGTGAGAAGCGGGGAGGTCTCAATTCTGTCCGACTCGGACAGAAGCTCATTTATCCGGACCCGGGTTCGGGTGCCCAAACTGGTAGTGCTCGCGCAGAAACATATTGGGAATCTCCGGTTGTTGCCGAACAGTTTAAAAGGAGAGACAAGTTGCCCCGACTCTTCAGGTTCCTCGACCAACCAAGATGATCACGGCCAGCATCCTAGCAGCAGCAGTTCTTGTGGGCGGCGTCAGCCAAGTTATGGCGTACAATCCGTCCTGCGGCGACAACGTTCGTCTCAGTGTCCTCATTGCTTGATATGCGACTGAATGTCGTCGAATAGCTGGCGGTTTACTGGGGTGGGTTGATCGTAACTACGCCCCCTCTGCTCTTGCTCACCTTGTGCATCTAGGACAAAACTCTGTCGGCGGCCAACAAAGTCTCGCAGCTTACTGTCAGGATTCCACCATCAACGCCATTCAAATTGCGTTGAGTTTGATCCCTTGTGGGTTTGGCGCATCGAATTGACCCCGGTTAGATTCCTGGACGTCTTCTTCTCCACAGGCGGGCTCCCTGAGATCAACCTAGCCAATGTAAAACCTCGCCGACGTATCTTGAACCCTACTGAACTCGACACAGACGTGCGGGACCGGAAATGGCGTCTTCCCCGGCACCAACCTCGCCAACTGTCAATTCTTGGCCTCCGACATTCAAACCTGCCAAAAGGCTGGGAAAATTGTGACCATCTCCTTGGGTGGTCAAACCGGTTCCGACTCGTTCACCAGCGAC